CTATTCTGCTCTTGGTGGCTTTGAGGTGACCTTATTAGTTAAATTTAGGTCTCTTAACTGTCTGAAGTGACACTGAGTACACAATGGGGTCACCACAGATCAACTCTTCTTAGATCAAGTTTCCTGATAGGCATTAAATTCCTCACTAGGTACCCCATACCTTTGGCCATGTGCTACATCTAAGCTATGCTTAGAAAATCACCATAACATTATAGAAAATTATAATTTACTGTTTCTCAGTTCAAATATTTGAACTTACAAATTTAATTCAGAGTGTTTTCATCTGAGAAGTGATCACAAATGTTTACTGCTAATACTTTGTATCAAAAGTAAAGATTCCTAAGTTTGGTTTTATATTTTGATTTGAACCAGGGTCATGTTTGATCCTGCTGTACCTCAAGAAGTTTTTGAATCAATGAATGAGCTGTCTGAACTTGTATGAAAGTGGCAACATCTTAAGAAGTAAACATTTGGTCCTCAGGGCTTATTAAAGAAAATCAATTTATCTAAAATGCAGCTGTTTTGCTATGACCATCCTATGATGTGATAGGCACTTAAGATTAACTTTCCACTAACAGCAGCATCTTTGAAAAATCAATTTATAAATCAATAAAGATGAGATTAGAAAGAGAGAAACGTGTGCATATTTGGGAAGCCATACTTAAAATGTTTGTCAGAAAATTTTCACTTTTTTTATTTTTTAAGTTTTTTATTTAACTTTTTAATCTATACATTTTTTTTTTAATTTGCCTGTATTAGTTTAGTCTTAAGCAACAATTTTTGGAAATAGAAGTTTACAATGGCAATGAAATGTTCAGAACTGGTAATAAGTTAATTATTTTCTTTGAGTATTTACCCTAAAATGTTATTTGGCACCTCAATGTGGTGTAATGGTTAGCAAGCTTGTCTCGCTAGATCAGTTACAAGTGAGTAGTGAGTTTGATCCTCACTGGGTGCCCTATGTGTCACATCTAAGCTACACTTAGTAAATTGCCATAGTCTTTCCAGTCATCTTGTTCGGCTCAACTACATTTTTCACTTCAAAAAAATTTTGCTTATAAGATCAACCAGCAAATGCCCTTTTCTTAGTTATATCTTTCAGATTATTTTTAAAATAACAAAGAAAGATGGTGCATTAAATGGCTAAGATATTATTTTGCTTTATGATTCAAATTAACTGTTAGAATTGAATGATTTCTAATTTGAATGAAATTTTAGAATCTACACTGGTGAAAATAAGCTTAAGACTGATGATTAAAGTTTTATTCATTTCAGAATATGTTTCTAATAAAACAATATAAATTAGTTTTATTGGGTACGCTTTATTTCTCTTTTGAATGATATAAAAATTGTATATTTTTTTACAACTTGAAAAATTTTAATGCTGGATTAATTTAAATTATCCAAATTTCAGACCGCATGGGTATTATGCAAATTATTTGCTAAATGGGTGGTCACATGGCTGGTCATTAGTGCATTATATAGTGTAATAACTGAGCATTGTTATACAATTAATTCACTATGGGGAAGCGTTGTAGTCTTAGCTCAGTGACTAGATCAAATATAGTGTTACTTCATCAACAAAACATTTACTTTATGAACATAAGCAAGCAATTAAAGTGCAGCAAAATGTCTTGTGTTCAGGCTTGGAAGCTTTACCAGGATACTGGGCAATATAAGGATAGGCAAAGATCAGGAGCCCCAACAGTGCAACTGGATAGACGAATTCATAGGCTTTCCGAATGATCAGGGAAACATACTCTTGTGGGTCTGTTCCAAGGTGCTGTGGTTTGCAGGAATAAGCTGTTTGAGTGGAACTTACTTCTCGATGATAGAATACAGAGGGAAGGAGGTTGGTCTGTTACTATGTAATTGGCATGGCAGGTCCTAGCCATGAAGATCAGACTTGGCAGAACTGAGAAATACAGTTTGCCTGAGAACTTTCCATGTTAGTAGTGATAGAGCAGTGAGAGACTCGCCACATCCCATCTGTGAGAGAGAGGTTAGAGTGCGGTAAATAATTCTTCTCCAACAAGGATTCTGAGATGCTTTTGAACTCTATTAAGACTAGAAAGTGAGGTCTGGGCAGCTCCTGTCCAAATATGGCAACAGTACTCCATTTTTGGCCTGATCTGACTCTGATAAAGGTAGAGGATAGAATGATACAATTTTTGTATGGATTTTGAATTTTAAATGTATTTATATTAAAAATCAAAATGGAGGAAAATGAGATGCATTTTTGTCATTTGGTGCTATTTTATTAAAAGAAAGGTAAAAAAAATACTGTACATGCAATAAAAGCAATAAAATAATGTGCCATTTATGGAAATGGTGCCATAACTGAGTGCACTCTTCATAAGTTGTTCACTAAATTCAGAAGTGGAAATTTGGACTTGGAAGAACAAAAAATTTCCAGCATTTTTGCAGTTGCTAATAAAAACCAAATCAAAAACAAAACTTAAAAGTTAAAACAAAATTCAGACTACATGGCATAGAACATCACAGAGATATTCCACATATCTCAAGTGAGTATTGTAAGGCATTTGAAAACACTTGAAGATGTGAGTTTAATGTAACATATTTCCATCTGCAATTCTCTGCTCAAATGTAATAAAAGCAACCTATTTTTGAAAAGAACAATGTAAACCACTCAAAAAGCCACCCTGCAACCGAAGAAAGTGATGATGTGTATCTGGCGGGATTGAAAGGGTATTGTGTATTACAAGTCTTTTCTGCAAAATTAGACATTGAATTCCGACAAGTACTGTTTTTTATTTGGACTAATTAAAGGTTGCAATTGGTGAAAAACATCCAAAATTTGCCAATCAGAGGGATATGATCTTCTATCAGAATAATGCCAGACCTCACATATCTTTTACAGACACAGCAGAAGTTGGTACAGATTGGCTGGTATGACTGACTATACCATACTCACTTGAACTTGCACCTTCAGATTACTACTCATTTTGATCCCTACAAAATTCTCTTAATGGGAAGAAATTCAATTCTCTGGTAGCCTGTAAAACACTTAAACCAGTTCATCACCCAGAAAGGTGTGAAGTTCTGGGAGGATGGAATAATGAAGCTGACTTGAAGTGGAACAAACTAGCACATATGTGGCTTAACCCTTTGAGCCCTGACCACTGCTTTACTGGTGGTAGAGAAAAATAACATAATGCCCAGCCACCGGTTGAACAGTGGTAGAGAAAAATGACTTTATGTCCATCCACTGGTTGAATGGTGGATAAACACTTGTAACTATTTGTATATCTACCATGAAGCATTACATAGCAATTATTTGTGAATTTTGACTCAGGAGCTCAGGCAGAAAGGTTAAAATTGTTCAGGAACGCAAGGCTAAAAGGGTTAAATATAAGTACAAATATCTAAATATTTCTTTAAAATTCACTTAAAAAACAATATGAACTTTTGTTCGGTCCCAATCAAAAGATTATTTCTTTTTAAAAACTACTTTTTTTTAAAATATAAAACCCAGCAAGGCAACAAAGCCACTAAGATGCAGTGGGCTACTGTGTGTGAAAGAATGTAAGAAAAGGAAACATTACAGAACTAGAACAGAAATTAAGAAGACAGAAGATAATGATTGACATTACATTCAAATTTTTGAAGCTAAAATTTGACTGGAAAGCAAGAATCCAGAAGAGATTTCCACAAGCAAGAAGTGTAGGAAAAGAAACTGTTAGCATAGAATTTATGGTTGCATCTAGCTATCTCCACTGTAAAATGATGGGATCTTACCACCAATCTAGTACTGCACTTAAATTCATAGTTTAGGTGCCCTAAAGGAGAGTGATATTTGTTCCACATTATTTACAGAAATGTAGTCCAAGGCCAAAATGGGGAATGGGGAAAAGATGATCTTCTTCTGTCTTATCATTAAACTGAGCATACCCCAATATTCCTTACACCAAAACAACGCATTCTTACTTACCATTCTTACAACATTCATCGTAATACCTCAATGTCTCTATGAAAATCCTAACTAGTCCCCATATGTAAAATTCATGTCTGTGGGGTGGGGGGTGGTGATAAAATACCCTAAAGGAGAGTTCATCAGAACATTTACCATGAATATATTTATAGAAAAAGCACAAGGAAGCTACATTATGGTGGTGGGAAAGTAACTGAAGCTGAGATGCCAGGTCAAGATCAATGACACTGCAAATTCTTATTTGGATTTTATCAAGGATCTCTAAATATGGACATAAGATTGATAAAAGAACTGGATGACAGGATACTGATATTAATGGTAAGCAAAGAGAAACTATAAAAGAAGACAGTTTTACTCCAAGACAAGCTGATTGTAATTTTCTTCATATATGCCAAGCCATTTGAAGACATGGGCAATCATGGTTCTCCCCAAATTCTTGTCATTTGTTGCTTTCAGTAATTTTTAATCCTTTATCATCTTTATTTTACCCTGTTTTGCCATCCAATCACTAAAACATGTTAAGCAGGTGAATTGTTGTTTCTCTCGACTTTAATATATCCTGTGAGCATTAAACTCTCTAGGCCCTCACTTGTGATTATGCGTACAAAAGATTTCAACTGTCATTTTCAGATTGTAAGTGTAAGTTTTTATGTTGTTTCTGTTTTCCTTAAAACCTCCTCAGTGTTTGCATGTTCTGTCCATGTTAATCTCAGCATTCATCAGCAGAACCACATCTGTTGCTTTAAGTCTCTTCATCATCTGTGAAGAAATTATCCAGCATTCCCTACCATATATGAGATTAGATATAACTAATTAAATTTTCCTATTTGTTAATACTGTTTCTAGTTTCTGGAAGGCATCTTTTACCAAATCTGTAACTTATACCTTAAGTATAAAAGGAGGACTTGAATTTATGTGAGTCATTAAAAGATAAAAATTAATTAATAAAAATGAAAAAGTATGATAATATGAAGAGCTTTCTTTCTAATGGTGAAATACAACAGGTACAAAAAAGAAATGTTTATTTTGACAAAAGGTTAAGTCTCACCATTTCAAGGTCATTAATTTCATTGTTGCCAAGAGAAAGGACTTCTAATTCAGTCAGATTATCCATGTTTTCAATCTTTGATATCCTATTATTGTAAAGTGTCAGATCTTGCAATTTGGTGAGAGTGTCAAGTCCACTAATTTCTTCAATGTTGTTGAAGGACAAATCTGTGAAAAAAATATAGTAGAAATTTACAGGCTAAAATATGTACTCAACAAAAATAGTAGAAATTTATAGTCTGTTGAGAATTCACCTCTTTGTTTCTGAGGTGCAGATGATTTATAGTAAATATTTATGGGCTCCTGGAACATTTATCCCACAAACAATATTGAAGGACTCATGTGAGTCTGGGTAGAAATAAATAATATAAAACATGGAATTTAAAATGACAATTAATGTATGTTATTAACAAAAAAGGAATTACATGTGTACACAATTGAACTCAAAAGAAAATACATTAAAACTAACTATAAAAGTGTGCTTGTTTTGTGTGTGTGCAAAACAAGCATATGTGATACATATGTGTGTATTCACATATGTGCGAGAGTTCAGTCAACAAAGGACCAAGAAAGCAAATGTGCCTCAATGACAGTGTTCTTTATTTTCGTTCAACTACACCTGGAAGCAAGAGGAAAAAGAGAAAGAGAGAGAATATATTTGCCTTTTTATAGACTTAAAGAGTGCTCCATAGTGAGTGTTTTTTTGCAAAGCCAAATGAGGTAAACCACAAATTCCAATTATATACTCAACAAAATGATGAAATTTATTGTCCCAATCATGTACTCAACAAAGAATAATAAAAATTTATTGTCTAAATCATGTACTCAACAACAATATGAATCTATAGCCTAAATCATGTACTCCATAAAATTTGTATTTCTGTTTCCTTTAAATGAAAATGACTTTATATCTCGCATCAAATCCAAAAATCAACCATTTTCAAAGTGTCATTATTACAGCATTAATGAATTAAAGAAAGCTCATTCATAAAAATATAATTTATCTGGGACTTTATTTTCTGGTAGATTCGATATAAATGTGCCAAAAATGTTTCTTTGCTTTTTTCAATAAGATTTGTATCAAAACTTGTTGAAAAAAATAAATTATTTTGACACAATTATATTTTAAGAAAATTGAATGTCTAGAATATTAATTTGTTTATATCTACAAGCAAACCCCTGAATACTTTTGTCCCATTTTGTTCCACACCTTTGTGGATAAACAGGATTCTTTTCATTCTGAAGAAAGTGGCTTTGTTTCTAAACATTACATCAGACTAACTTTGATATTATAGAATACTTCTGAAAATTCTAACAAATTTTAACAAGAGACAAGATGAGATTATCTACTTTTTTTAATATACAATTTTGTTTCAATAGTTGTCAAATATTTATAAGCTTTTTAATGTTCTGTGCTGATGACAACATTCAAGAGATATACAGATTCGAGGAACACTCAATAAACATGATTAGAATTAAATGTATTTCATTTGGGATGAATGAACATTTGCTGCGCAGCTGGTTTTTACCTAGAAAATTGCATTTACTTGGAAAATTTTCTATTAAGCTCATTTTAATTTCAGTCTTTGAATAATGGTTGCATCAACATTAGCAATATATAGAATTTAGATCGAAAACTTGCCATCACTTTTAAGAAAACTAAACAAAATGTGTGTTTTTAAAAATTATACTAATTGAGGTAAGCTATAAAAATGTGCCATGGATTATTTTATATGTAAATACATTGATATTTTTAATTACAAACAACTTATGAAAGAAGGCTTATGGTTATATCACGTTGAATAAACCAGTTCTTCTTTGATGATTGAAGTTGTGGCATTAAGTTTGGTCAGTACTGAAAGTAGTGACTACTTGGAAATACCAGATGCCCTAATCTTAAATCAAGTAGATAGAACTTCTTAGTCTGTAGGAATGGCCCATCTAAATGAAGGAAAACTTTAATGTTAAGCCTCCACTGCCTTGCAAAAAAAAAATATGGAGTAGACAAAGCTCCTTAGCTGTCCTGAAGGCTCTCTGACTAGGAGAAGAAAAATATTCAATATAAAATCTTTATTGTGGGGGTATGGATTCCAGGTTGGTGTCTGTTATGAGTAAACCCACCTTTTAAAGGACAAAAGCCTTCTTTAAATCTACTTGTGTATAGATCTTTCCAATCCTGTTATCAGGGAGCAACACCTTCTTCCAAGTTGCTCTAAGCCAGTACAGAAGAGTAGGCTGATGAAACTAACATGAAAATGTAAAAACTAAATATTTCCAGACAAGAGGGCAGCACATCCAGACCTCTCTTCAGGGCGTAGATTTCGTGCCTCTCCACAGCTTCCTGCTTTTGTTGCACTTAACAATATTTGCTCTTTATGACACCTCTTTGTGATAGTTGTTTCTCCAAAATTGATCAAATTTCTCAAGTAGGTTGCCTGATGCTTTCCTAGGCTTCTCTTGCTCTCAATGTGCCCCATATCCATTCAGGACATAGACGATCATGGCTCTCCACAACGTCTTCCCTTTTGTTGCTCTTAGCAATATTTGTTCTTTATGCCCGTTCTTTCTCTTTGTGATAATTCGTTCAAACTTCTCAAGTACATTGCCTAATGCTTTCTTCACATACTCTTGCCATCTATATACGTTGTGAGTTTTATATTCTCCAAATTTTCTTTTCTCATTATGTTTCCCCAAAATCCTAGCTGCCCCATTCAGATTAACAACAGTTTCCTTACAGTTCTTATTCACCTTCAAACTTTCTCATTTGTTATGTATTTTGTCCACAGTATACTCAACATTCATTGGTAGAACATACTTCTGTCACTTCAAGGTTTTTCTTCCATTGTGATGAAATTATCCTGCATTCACTGCCATGTAGATTAGACATTATGTAGCAGTTCAGCTATCTTTTCTTTGTTTCTAATGCTATTCTTTAATCATTTAAAACCTTACACAATTTCTTCATTTCCAACATTCATTATGACACATTCCAAATAGTTGAATTTCTGTACTATTTGATTTTGACATTCCCAATGCAAAATGTACATTTTGGGCTGTCCCTTTTACTTACAACTATGCATTTGGTCATTTTGCAACTAATATCTAATCCTTTTTACTTGTTTTTATTGGTTACTTTATCTAATCATTCTTGAAGCTTTTTTTCTGAATCAGATATTGACACAATGTGGTCTGTATTGTATATATTGTGGTTACATCCTTCAGTAATAAATTTCTCTTGAAACATTCTCCAGATAACTTTGCACTTTGCAAAACTAGTTTAAAATCTTCAATCGCCACCAATATATTCTCTGTTTCAAGCTATTTTCCTCTTTGCTGAAAAGATTCTAGGGCCTCAGTGTTTATATTTAGGAAAATCTCCCAGTTACAAGGGAATTGAGGCCCCAGTTGATTCTTTCATGTGTTTTTGACTTTTGTTATTGCATTCTGTTAACTATCTCTTTTTGCCTTATCACTCTTCTTCTTCTCAGGACTGTAAGATATTAAACAAAATTTCTGACAATATGAAAATGGCTCTCTCTCTCTCTCTCTCTCTCTCTCTACATTCCTCTGTGAACATTTCTGTGTTTGGTAATTTAATGCTCATGACATCAAGTGGCTTAAGCATTCTAATGTTATTGATTTAACCAGTATTTGAACTTTCAATTTTTCCATTGCTCAATCTCTCAGTCAAATACTGGATTTCCCAACTCATTTTCTTAATTAATCTGATCAACATTTTTCTTTATGGGATTTGTTCCTTACCTCCTCTCCTAGCTTTATGTTGAGCATCACATCTCTGTTCTCTTGGCATTTCAAATCACACCGTAGTATCTGTTGATATTTCTTTATAGTCATCTATTAGAAAGGAACCTCCTATTCACAAGACTTGTTTCCAGCATACTGGTTGGGATTCATTTTTTGACTTTATTTGAGATGCTCCTTAGATTGATATTCTTAAACCTTTCTATTGAGAATTGTACCACAGAGGTTTCTTCTTGAGTTAAAGCCAGCATTGATGCTTTTGTACCTTCTTGTAAATAGCAGATGAACTCACAATCTTCTCCTTGTTTCACATCAACCTATTCAGCCAATAGAGCACACAGGAATTGTTTTTTCCAGATGTATCAACATGATAGTTCTGATCACAACAGATGCAGATTTGTGTCTGCTTATAATAATTGTCCTCAAAGAGGACAAGTCTTTGTTGATAGGATGAGGTACCATATAGCCTCTAACAAGTTTGGTTTTCATGAATACTGGTGGCTCTGTAACAGTGTCTTAAATAAGAGTAAGTCTTCTACTCTTCTCTTCACTCAGTTTGATGCATTAACATCTGTTGCTAATAAAGCAAAATGTTTTGCTTATAAATTCTCTTCAAATTTTGTACTCATCTGGAGTATCTTTGATTGACTTTCCATTTAGAGCTGAGTATCTATTGAGTGATATGCTTATAAATCTATCCTTGGTCTCTACTATAATCTCTAAACTGGATCTCAACAAAGCATGTGGACTTGATGATATCCCTGCAATAGTCCTTAAGAAATAGTTCCTGTTCTCTTTAAACTCTACAATAAATGCTTTGCTGCTTGTTGCTTTTCTGCTTGTTAGAAATCCTCTTCTATAGTTCCAGTCTAAGAACTCAGGTAAACTGTCTGATCTTTCTAATTATCAGCCTCTTAGCTTTCTGTCTCTTTTTTTTTGCAAAGTACTAGAGACTCTAAACAACTTTGAATTGGTTAAGTATCTCACCTTGCAAGGTCATCTTTCAGATACGCAATATGTGTTTTGCTTCTCTAGGTCAACTGCTGATGTATTAACAATTATTTCTGAAAGAGTCTATCAAGCTTTAGATAAGCATGGTGAAGCTCAGGCTGCTTTGGTTACCTCAAAGGCATTTGACAGGTTTTGGCATACTTGATCTTTTTGAGAAGTTGAAAGGTTATGGTATTCTGGAAAGATTATGGTATTTCTTTTTTGTATTGCCTTGTTTGGAGTGAAATGATTAAAAAGAAAATTGCAGTAGGTCCTTCCCAGTTTGTAAATATGAAAACTACTTCTTTAAAGTAAATTGTTAATTGTAATGACAGTACTGATGGCACATACCTAGAATCCATCATAAATACTAATAATCTCTAAACACTTCAAATACCTCGGTATATATATATATA